CTCTACTTTAAAGAGTCCTCTCCTGCTGATGGCTCAGGTGTATATCAGTATGTAGTGTCTCTACTGTAAAGAGTCCTCTCCTGCTGATGTTCATGGTGTATATCAGTATGTAGTGTAATCTACTTTAAAGAGTCCTCTCCTGCTGATGTTCAGGTGTATATCAGTATGTAGTGTCTCTACTTTAAAGAGTCCTCTCCTGCTGATGTTCAGGTGTATATCAGTATGTAGTGTCTCTACTTTAAAGAGTCCTCTCCTGCTGATGTTCAGGTGTATATCAGTATGTAGTGTCTCTACTTTAAAGAGTCCTCTCCTGCTGATGTTCAGGTGTATATCAGTATGTAGTGTCTCTACTTTAAAGAGTCCTCTCCTGCTGATGTTCAGGTGTATATCAGTATGTAGTGTCTCTACTTTAAAGAGTCCTCTCCTGCTGATGTTCAGGTGTATATCAGTATGTAGTGTCTCTACTTTAAAGAGTCCTCTCCTGCTGATGTTCAGGTGTATATTAGTATGTAGTGTCTCTACTTTAAAGAGTCCTCTCCTGCTGATGTTCAGGTGTATATCAGTATGTAGTGTCTCTACTTTAAAGAGTCCTCTCCTGCTGATGTTCAGGTGTATATCAGTATGTAGTGTCTCTACATGTCTCCATGCTTTAATGTTCAAAAAGCTCTTTATTGTTCTCATACTGCCTGTGCTGCAGCACCTCTTTTCACCCTCTGTCTGAAACCAGAGCCCAGTCTGCTCTGATTGGTTAGCTGGCCGGCTCTGTTGTGATTGGTCAACCACTTAGAGATATCCCGCCCCTTAGCCTATCACGTAAAATGTGTTGGAGCGCTAGCCAATAGGAGCGTGAGTGTTACATAATGATGTCACTATGTTACAGAAGTAAACAAAGGAGTCCAATGGAGGTGCTTCAGGCAGGGGGGGAGTGTGTGGGAGAGAAACTCCCTCTGGAGGGAACACAGGGATTTTAGCCTTTGCAGACCATTTACATGCACTAAACCCATGTAACACACTACTGGAAAGGGAAAACCCCAAAAAGCATCATAGTGCCCCTTTAAAAAAAAAAAAAAAACCCAAACACGAGACACGCTTAAAGATAATAAGATGTGATTCGATGCTCAATCCTAAAAATAAATAAAGCATGGTGTATTGTTTAAGCTGCACGCTGCTGACCTCTGACCTCAGGCTACATCACATCAACATTCTGCTGTTAGTCTGATTACTCCACACATAAACCTCCGATATGAACAAAAACACTGCATTCTTCCACACACACACACACACGCACGCACGCACGCACGCACGCACGCACGCACACACACACACACACACACACACACACACACACACACAGCATGGATTAATGGCCCTTCATCCACTCTCCCATCATTATCTCATCCATCATTATGGGATGTCCTGCAGCGCCCCCTGCCTGCAGCCCAGCTTCATTGCAACACTTCAGGTCAGTGCTGTTATTGTTTTTTTAAGGGAACAATTCATGTTGTATTAATGTGAGGTTATTTCATTGTTGTTTTCCACTCTCTCCGTCTGATATCCATGCAGTTGGAGGAAACTCTTGTTGCTCGAGGCCCTGCAGCCAATAGGGGGGTCTTGAAAAGAACAAGACCTTCTCTCAAAAGCTTTATTTGTTATATGTACAATTGCGACAGCACAGTTTGGCCCTCAACCTAAAACAATATCAATTATGTAAAGTACTAGACTCTCCATTGACCCCGAAAACCTTTTTTATTGGATGGATTGAAGAATATCAGTGCACAACTATCAATGTACATTACCTAAACAAAGCCTTTTCGGATTAAATTCTGAATTGGTGTGATCTAAAAAGTGCTGAAACATCATCTGAAGTGTGTTGTATTTCAAACTGTTCATCTTATATCTCCACCTGTCTAGGAATCAGTTGGATTCTCCCTGAACATCCTGATATTTCATCCACTCTGAACCTCTTTACACTTTCAGTTTCTCCAGGGTCTTTGTACAATAAGCTGTAATAAGAGGCCTGGTTCAGGTGTCACACATGATGTTCCTCCAATCATAATCATTTCATGTCACCACTTAAAAGTAAACACACACACACACACACACATTATTTTGTTGATTTTTGGGGATTATATTGAGATTTTATGTTTAAAAGATACACATTTATTATGATTTTAATATATTTATTTTTCTATTCATAATGTTTTATTTGTGAATGTTATGGTTGATTTTTTTTATTTTAACTCACTCTGGAAATGTCTAAGGAGTTGCAAAACTACCAAAATAAGACACAAAACAATCAACAACAACCGCAGTCTAGATTTGTACTTTTATATCCGTAACCAGGATATCGTATCATACACTATCCAGTCAATATGTAAAACCCCCCAAAACATATCATCCATAAAATAAGAATAACCTTTTAAATTGACAGAAAAGCTATTTTCTATTCCTTAAAAATGTACCTTTGACAATATCAAGCGCTCCTGCACATTATTAGGAAGTCGCAGTAAATACACATTTTTTATTTGGTGACTTTGGGGATCTTAAGAGCATTTTGAGAGCCATATCGATTTAGTTTTAAAACACACAGATAAGAACGATCCAGCCCAAGGAGGTAAAACCCAACCAGTTAAAAGTAGAGTGCCGTTATGTTGGACATCTTGTGATATTTCTGTCGTTTTTCTCCACTTTTATTAGATTTATTAGGAGAAGACTGCAGCTGAGACTAAGTGTGAGAACATTGTGGTTGAGAGATTGACAGTCCTCTGACGCAGGAGTTAATAAACTTGTTCTTAACTCATTCAGATATCTGGGAGGAAGCCAGAGAAAACTACTCCCCACGCCTCATTAAAGGTGAGCTATTAAACACCTCTGGACTCATGGGGGGTGTCAGAGTGCTAACACTGTTCAAATACCCTGTTCAAGACATGCATTGAGTATATGAGTAAAAGTAAGAGTATAATCATGAACCCAAGTAGAAAAGACTGTTATACTATTATATATGTTACCATTAGAATATTTCTCTATCTCTCAGGGTTGAGGTGGAGCTCATTTATCTCATGCATCTATCCATGTTGACTTTTTTTGTATCATTATACACTGCAAGATACACAGCCATGGGAAGACTTGTATGCATCTGCTTAGTGTTACTGCTTACAGAAACAAAAGTACTAACAAGGAGATAGGGACAGAATATGACTAAAAGGAGAAGCTTAACTACCAAAAAGAGACACAACACTGTCAAAAAGAGTCTCAAACAGACCATCAAGAGATGCAAAATGTCTACAAAGATTTTATTTTTGAATCTGTGGCTCTTGTTCTTCTGAGTTCATATCTTTTCCCTCGGGGGTTGTCTCGTAATCCCTCCATGATTGCACAAGCACACATTTAGGTTTAATGTGTTTGCAGTGCATGTTTTGGGGTAGACATTTTGCTACTTTGCCAAACGACTCATTTATTACAAACATTTAATGTTCAAAGAGAAAATAATCCAGTCTGCATTAGATTTCCCCTGAAACTGTTTGCTGTTTGCAAATGTGTCGTTTGTAAAAGTGATTTCCAGTGGGACGGAAATTCATAAATAACCCAAGCCGAAAAAATACAAGGATCAAAGAAAGTCTTGCAGATACAACTAAGAGAAATGTTAACCTGCAGTTTAGAAGCAAATAAACTCATGACTGGATTAAAAATAATCAAGGTTTTTAGCCCCATCCAGAACAACCCTGATGACCTCACTATGACATCATCAGGGAAGTGATTCATGTATAGATGCAGCAGCAGCATGGCCGCACCATTTTAATTAAAAACACAACCTTGATTTAACCAAATTCCCTTTATTGCATCTTTTAATTCCATGTATATGAATACTGTTGCATTCAGGAAAAATACTCCACTATTTTAATAATAGATAGCATATGAAAGATCCTAAACACCCCATTTTTGAGGAAAATATTGCAGATAGTTCCAGAAGAAAGTGCAGCCGAAACTCAAAATGGATTTCTAGTTAAAAAATGAACTTATAATGAAGTTTGAAGCTTCAAACTCACTCTATTCCATCTTTGAATTGCATTTATATACATAATATTGCATCTAAGAAAGAGAAATAGACATTTGTTTGCAAAATAAATTGATATATAAATAAATTGCATATATAAAAAAGACCCCAAACGCCCCTTTAATGAAAAATAGGAGAATATATTGCAGATAGTTCCAGAAAACGTGGCAGAAACACGACAGGAAGTTGATCCCTGGATGAATATTCTAGAAATCCTGCAAGAATAAAACATTATTTTTCCTTTAATTTTCTAATTTATTTGTATCTCCTTCTTAAGGAATGAAAACATGAATCAGCTGTGCACATGTGTGTCTGAATCAGGTATTAGAAACCCCACAGATTTAATGTATAGTTCCCATCATCTGCGCTCATAGGTTTTAAGCCCCATGCAAAACAACCCTGATGACATCACTATGACATCATCAGGGAAGTGCCCCATACAAATATGCAGCAGCAACTGACTGCTCAAATTACAGTAAAAAAATCCACATATTTCTTCTATTGCATATTTGAATTGCATGCATATAGATAATGTTGCATTTTAGATAAAAAGGAGACATTGGTTTGCAAAATAATAAAAAATAAAACAATAAAAACAGTACAGAAAATTGCATATAAAAGTCCCCAAACCCCCCTTTATTGAAAAATAGGAGAAAACATTGCAGATAGTTCAGAATAACCCAGATGTGCACCGCTGAAACACAACAGGAAGTTCATCCCTGGCTGAATAATCTAGAAATACTGAAAGACGACAACATTCTTTTTTATTTATTTTTCAAAAAGAATCTCCTTTTTACAGAATGAAAACAGAAGTCAGCTGTGCACATGTGAGGCTGAATCAGGTGTTAAAACGCCACAGACTTAATTTATAGTTCCCATCATCGGCGCTCATAAAGCGGTATTATGAGCGGAGGAGGAGCGGGTGGGGCCTGGAGGAACACAGACTGTGGTCACTGACCGGAGACTCTTCTGCCTTTATTCTCCTCAAATCACACCGCATGTCTGACCCAGGGGTCCAACCTGCTGCTGGGAGAAATCTGCACTCACATCCCCGAGATCTGTCAGATGGATGCGGAGCTGAGGATGAAAAGATCGCCTGATATGTTTGTTGGCATTTTCGCTCATCGCCTATTTATGGGAGGCAGCGGCAGCGGCGGCGGCTCGGCCCTTTCTTTATTATAAGGAAAGAGATCTCCGCGGTTATAGCTATGTGAAAAGAGCGGATCGCCGAATAATTCTCGTTTCGCGATCCCGAGGAATAATTATGAACAACGCGCAAGATATGTCGCCTGATTTCGTGTTGATGCGCCTGGTTTCCGCGGCCGAGGATGACCGCTTGGACGCGGAAAACGGGAATCTGCCACCGGGAGGAGTGTCGGTGGCGGGGCTGGGGAAGGACGTCCTGGCTCACAGCGGCGTCAAACCGGGGTTGGATATCAGCCGAGACCCGACGGTGGGCCTTGAGCATCCCAACAAAGGCCATCCGCCGCACGGAGAGACTGCACCTGACACCGGGGGGACGGAGAGCCGAGCCCCGGCGCCTGCTCCGCCGCAGAGCCCCATGGAGGCCCAGGGCTTTGACTTCGCCCCCAGCCCCGGTTTAAGGCCTCAGCTGCTCGTCTTCTCCAATATAATGCGGAATGGAGAGGGGATTTTAGAATTAGACCGTCGGAATCAGCAAAGGGATGCTCTGGGTTTGGATCAGAGGCGCGGGCCCGGCGGTCAATAACAACAGCCGGAGCACCGGGGACGCGCAGCAGCAGGACCTGATGGACCGGACATGGGGAGCGCATCCGCCGGGCGAGATGCACCAGGGAGCTGCGGAGCTTTGCCGCCGGCACCGACTCATCACTACCACGCCCGAGTGGCCCTTGTTGTCGGAGAGATCTAACCCTCTCACCGTGATTGACTCTAAATGGGGGTGCGCCTCCAGGGACAGAGAGGGAGCCGTGTTCGAGCTGGCGCGACGTTTCGGGGAGCTGGGGGTCGGTGCGGTGCCCAAGATGCTGCTCAAAGCCGGGGAGCTCCCGCAGTGTTCGTGTCAGGGAGCTCACAGGCCGGCCGGAGGAGGAGTGGAGCCCAGGGACGACCCCACTGAAACCAGCGATGCTCTGCTGGTGCTGGAGGGGCTGGGGAGCGGGGATGTCGGCCTTGACATGGACGAGTGCACGGAGGGGGATCCGGACGATGAGATCGGACGCAGAGAGTTTCTACTGAACAGGAAGAGGGAAATAGTTCAGAAAATGTCGGGGTCTTTCTCCATCAGCAGCTTCCAGGCGGAGTTGAGGCGGCAGGTGGAGGGGAGCGAGGCGGCGGCTGCACACCTGCACGGCTCTCAGGTGTGCAGCCTCCACGGGGGGTTAGCCAGGAGGATCTCGCAGGTAAGCTCCGGGGATTCAGAGGTGACAGCCCAGGTTTCAGCCACAACACCGTTATCTACACCCACACCGGTCCAGAACTCACCTTGGGGCACAAGTCCGAACCTGAGCCAGGTGTCCACCCCCAGGAGGAGGCCGGAGAGGTGTGCCAGCGCGCCCAGGACTCCCACATCTGGCTGGGGCTCCGGGGGGGAAAAGATGCTCAAAGTGCCAGGGAAGTCCAAAAAGGGCTCGTTAAAGATCCGCCTGAGTAAACTGTTTCCGGACTAAAAAGCTGCAGCGGCTCCAATCACCTGCTGGACAAAAGGCCCTCAGTGACCTACTCAGTATCCTCTGCTGGGAGTCTGGTGGACATGGCGAGCAGCCCTGGAGCTGAGCCGGACAGGTGAGCAGACTAACCCTCAAGATTAGTCCTACAGTATAATATAGTGATGTTTCTATACTGTCAGTGAGAAGAACATCAGACCCAGCATGCATGGATGACACACAAGGCATTTCAGGGGAGAAAGCGGGGCCGGAAATCTGCATTTTTGGAGCTAGCAACCAGAAATATGCACAATACTTTTACTTCAAAGTGTCCCTTAGCTTGGTTTAGGTTTTTGAATGGGAGAAGACATACTGTAGGTCAGGAAGATAAATGCATGAGAAAGTCCTGCAGAAACCTGACAGATATGCTGTAAAAATTCTGCTGGGAGTCTGGTGGACAAGTGAGCAGACATGACCCTCAAGATTAGTCCTACAGTATAATATAGTGATGTGTATACTGTCAGTGAGAAGAAGATCAGACCCAGCATGCATGGAGGACACACAAGTCATCAGGGGAGAGTAAGTTAGGTTTTTGAATGGGAAAAAGTCCCTAAATGGGAATCAATAAAGTTAAATGAAGATATACTGTAGGTCAGGAAGATAAATGCATGAGAACGTCCTGCAGAAACCTCCAGGTGAGCAGAAATGACCCTCAAGATTAGTTGTATAATATAATATAGTTATTTATCAGTGAGAAGAAGATCAAACCCATCATGCATGGATGACACAAGTCATTCCAGGGGAGAAATCAGGGCCGAAAAGAACATTTTTTTCAGCTAGAAACCAGAAATATGTGCAATATCTCTGCTCCAAAGTGTCCCTTAGCAACTCTGTTTGGGAACAAATCGCTAAAGGGGAAACAATAAAGTGTTTTCCAAGACATATTGTATGCCAGGAGGAAGTTATATGCATGAGGAAATCCTGCTAAAAACAGACAGATCTGCAGTAAAAGCATGCAATATTTAAGAAAAGGCAAAACATAATGAACCAGGACTTATTCAGAGCGACATGTTGATCTCTTTCCAAACTTTGGGACACTCATGACTTTCTAATGGCTTGCATTAACTACCTTTAACTATCTGTCTTCTCTCAGAGACCCTAAAACTTTTTTGGGTAAAGTGCTGCATGTTATTAGAATCAGAGATGTCCCCCAACCTTTGTGGCTTGTCACCCTCTATCCTCTTCACTGCTTAGTCATTATTCACAGCTGCACACTGAAAGAAGGCTATGATTAAAAAAACATAGCTTCAGAAGTCCCGACTGCCAGAGCTGAGAGCATCAAACAGAAAAAGTAAAAAAAAAGCTGGAGGACCCAGAATTGCACGCATACTGGAAAAACTCATTTTCTGATCCTTTGCTGCGACTGACACTTCTTCTTCTTCTTCTTCTTCTTCCTTTCTGCACTAACTCTTCTTCTTCTTCTGCATGTTTTGATGTGTGTCCTGCAGCCACAGCCAGCCCAGACTGACCCGGGCGCACAGTGCCTTCTCCCCCGCCTCCCTCTCTGCCTCCCTCTCTGCTTTCACCGGTAAGGGCTGCTTCGGTTGTTACTCTACCCATCAAATACGCTTTCAAACCTGGGATAAAGTCTCCAGACACGGGGCACTGCACTCCAAACTCAAACACGAGGGATGCTTACTGTAAAAGAACAAGAAACAGAATCGCCTTCGATGTTAACTTCAGTATTCTAAGTTACTATGACATTTTCTTACTTTTCAAGTCATTTCACTTATCATTTTGAATCAACTTAATAGGCTGTTTTGCACATTAAGTAAGCACCACTTAGTATCCATTTAACTATATATTTGTTCATTAGTGCACGCTTCTGTAGTCAAGATATTTAAGCTCTGAAAACATCGACTTAAATATCTTATTTGTTCTAGTTACGGTAACTTGTTTGGGTTGACAGTGTTAATAGGCCAAGTATGCATACACATGCAAGGATGTTGATATGTTTGCATTGCTCTTAATGTACTAACACAGAAATAGACATGTGTTGCTATGTTGGTTAACACATACGAGAACATTGGCGTTGGTGTAATGGATGCATGACTTCAAATATAGTTAAAGGGTGACGCCGGACACAGAGCTCCACACCGAAGTCTCTGCAAAACAAAAACAACGTGACCATCGTTTAGCCTTGCTCTCACACGGAAATAGTCAGTCATTGAACACATGTAATAAAACGTGCTGTGGTGTATTAATGCATGACAGTGACATGGTAAGAGAACGTACAAATAAGCATTGCAAAAACCTAAATAAATAACACTTAACATACTGTAGGTGAAAGGTCTGCACACACAGGGCACACTTTCACTGTTGAGTCATCAGAGTTAGAAAACCTTTGATTGTAAATTATGTGAACACATGCATGGAATTGGACTTTCTTTTCTTTCATTGCTCTCAAACGTTCACAGAAGAGACATGTATTGTTATGGTTGTTAAAGGTCCCATGTCAAGGTCATTTCTACTGATCATAATTCCATTGTTGAGGTCTACTAGAATAGATTTATATTGTTCAATGTTCCAAACTCACATTGGTTTCTCATACAGCATCTCTGTATAGTATGTGTATTCACTCTCTGTCCTACACGGCTTGTTGGAGCTCCTGCCCCCCCCCCCTCCCTGTGAGCACAGTGTGCTCTGATTGGTCGGGACGTTGGAACAGGTTTCCGAGTCAGCGATACAGCAAGAACAAGCGAAACTCATCCTGAGCACACGCAAACACTCACAGCCGAAGTAAAAACAATAAGTGTGGCTTGTTATTGAGTAAGAAACAGGTTTATAAACGCTGTGAGAATGGGTCTGCGGAGAGCATTTCTCCGCCATCCCAACTCGTCTATTACCAACCAGGGAGCTCTACGCAAGTCAATGGGGACTCCCTGTTAGTTAGCCAAGGGATCCTGGTGTGTGAGGTGCTCCGCGGATTGGTCCATTTGGGCCAATCCGGTCATTTGTTGTTGATTTGGGTGTTCACACGTCACAGAACCCAGGAAGTAAACAATGGAAAATGAGAAATCCCCAACGAGGCGTTCTGGGGCAGCATAGACAGGTCTTTTCTGTGTTAGAGTTTTACTCGCTACAGGGTGTACTTTGAGGGTTGGTGACTCTGCAGACCGTTTACATGCATAAAAACCTACATAACACACAAGGGGACGGGTAATAACCGGAAAAGCATGACATGGGACCTTTAACACACAAATGGAAAACAGCTAGCATTGCAGAAAAAAGGACACAAATACATAAAAAAACTAAGTCTGCACACGACAAACAAAACCCTAGAAAAGCTGCTTATATTCAAAAGAGAGTTTTGTGCAAAACTCTCTTTTGTGTTGCCAGACTTTGGCTGGTGCATCCTCCTTTATCAGAAACTCAGGTACATTTAGTCTTTTACTGGCACTGGCAGTCATCTATTGCTAAGATTTGAATATATAAGATTTGTTTGTCCTCTTCACAAAGACGGGACGAACACAGCAAAGCCAACATGCCCTTTAATACAGGATGTATGGGAAATCGTTGAATTAGGAGTAACTTAATCCATACCGCTGCTTGTTTACGGTCATTATATTTTACGTTAGCACCGTTGTGTTGGTAATTACAGCTGAAGGTTTTAAAGCTGAGATCAATATGTTTGGACTTTAGTACAGCGATGGTAATTCAGCTCTTGTGATGTGTCTTTATTGTCACACACTGAATACACACACTAGGTCACACAAAAGGTCAAATGTCACACACTGAATACACACACTAGGTCACACAAAAGGTCAAATGTCACACACTGAATACACACACTAGGTCACACAAAAGGTCAAATGTCACACACTGAATACACACACTAGGTCACACAAAAGGTCAAATGACACACACTGAATACACACACTAGGTCACACAAAAGGTCAAATGTCACACACTGAATACACACACTAGGTCACACAAAAGGTCAAATGACACACACTGAAACACCTGAGTCTTACCTGGAGTTACATGAGAACATTGAGTTTTAGAAATGTTTAGCGTAGCATAAAAAGAGACTGGAAGAAGTAGTAACTGCTGGCTTAGCGTTATCAAAGGTGTCTTTATATGCTTTGAATTCGCGCACTTAACTGTTTAAGAAATATAAAAATGAGACCTTATGATAAACAATTTATCGAATGAACTGACCAGCGAGGCACAGTTTACTAATTAATCGAGACCTTTTTGAAACTGTTCTAGTCTTTTATTTCACATTTTTGCGGCTAGAAAACAGAAATATGTGCATTATCTCGGCTTCAAAGTGTCCCTTAGCAACTCTGTTTTGGGAACAAGTCGCTAAATGGGAAACAATAAAGTAAAATGAAGTGTTTTCCAAGATACATTGTAGGCCAGGAACTTTGCCAGACTCACTGGAAACAAGTTCAACAATATTGAACAGAAGCCGTTTTCACTTGAAATAAGTAAAAAAATCTGCCAATAGAACAAGTGAGAATGTGCTAGGTAAGATTTATTGAAATAAGACGGGATATTTAGATAAATCAGATCTTGTAATTATCTGGGAGAACTCATTTTGAACTATATTTGACCAGAATCAGGAAATGTTGCGTTACAATATAAGCCACATATGCTCAAACGTGTTCTGTTTCCTGATCTTAGTTGGTGATTTTCTAATAAATATGTAAGTTGTTTCATCTGAGATACAACTAAAATTAAGATGTTTTGACTTAACAAGATGATGCATTGTCTAAAAACAAGACCCGATATCTCTCTGCAGTGTCACTGCTGAAGTTATTATGTCTTATATCCGGTGTAAAGAAATATTCTGATTAGATGTTAGACACATATACTTGGCAAGATTTCAAGTTTTTGTAGTGCTTTGGTGGGTGCATCCTCCTAGCAGTGGCTATTACAACATTTGAATATTTTCTCCTCCACTGTACGACCCAGAATTATTATTTTTACGAGTAATATTTGTCCTCTTCAAAACAGACGGTGACAAACACCGATATCGTCTCACTGTCTTCCCGGTTTGTTCTAAGCATTTTTTAAAGTAACCTTCCCAACCCATGATGGTGATAATATCTTAATATCTGGGTGTTGGACACATTTCTAAAGCTTTCTGACGCTGTGTGGTGCACAAAGGCCTCTGGGTAAGAAAGGTGAGGAGGTCTGTAGCTCAGCTGGCAAAACATTATTTAGCTGACTTTATGAGAATCGTCCTTCGTAACATCCGCAGGGCTCCGGAGAACATTCTGGTGTCCCACATTGCTCCCAAATCTCTGTATTTCACTATTTCTGAATATGCTCTGCACGGCGCTAACCAGCAATTAGCCAGAAACATTAAAGCTGCAACGTTTCACGACATAGGAGAGAGTTTTATTTAAATCTTTGGGCTTCAAAACCCAGAAGTCCTGCACCGAAATGGGCTCGAAAGAAGCAGAGGAACAGATCTCAAAGCTGCGATAGACGTTTGAATTTGTTTCTTTCCCTGCCAGTGAAACATCCCCAAACTGCAGATTTCTTTTGTTCTGGTAAACAGTGAATGTGCAGCATCTCAATTAGCCGTGATTCTTCTTTATTGCAGTGATTTAGGCTGATTAGCTGGGCGTAATTTTCCATAAACATCCTGTCTGGCGCAGCTTTAATGGCACTCTGCAGCACAGACAGGACAACACGAAATCACAGAAACACAAACCGCGCTTTCACTTTCTGCTGTTTCACTTATTTATTTATTTATGTTGAGTACAGGCAAGACACTCAAATAAAGAGTCTTGATGAGATGACGTAAGCATCTCTCAAAAAGTACAATTAAATAACAGGAATTTTAAGAGACCAAAACGTCCAAAAACACACACATGACATGCAGAACACTTTCATTAGTCCATACTGTCCCACTTAGATTGAATTATTTACCATTTCGTGTTGTTTCGTGCCACCTTTCTTTCTCCCAAACAATTGTCTTTGCAATGTATTTTTTAATCATCTTAAATGCAGCTGCCTCATTAATTTAAGGAGAACACATTTTGATTAAGTATTTAACCCAACAGTATAATTGCATTTATTATATGTGGACTCTTTTCATCCAGAAGCCCGAATAACATGTTGAAAGGTGTGGATTTAAAATGAGTGCCAATCTTTGAATCTTGGTCGTCAGACAGGAGAAACAACCTTTTTTAGTAACAGTGATCACGTTGATTATCTTGAATTCTTCAATAGGATTTAATTGTCGTCAAATGTTTCCATGGGTATCAAAGTATTAGATGAATCTTCCCAGAAGGAGCGGACAGTATGAGGGAAAACTGCAAGGCCGCTGCTCTGTAAACAAACATTAAAACTTATTTTGGTTATCCTTTATTTTAGATTTAGATTCTGACACCTTGTATCAGGCGCACAAACCTTTCTCTTATCCGCATCAGAATAAGAATCAGGTTTATTGCCAGGTACGTTTACACACACAAGGAATATGCTTTGGTGTGTGGTGGTGCGAATCAGAATCAGAAGACCTTTATTCGTCACACATTCGGCGACATTTACAATTGTTAAAGCAAAGAGCCAAAGATAGCTTAATATCGCTCAAGAAGCAAGATACAAAACTCCACAATATGCAAAATACACATCCAGGACGGATACACGTTTAGCGATATAGCAGCCAGGTGAAAGTATTAAAGGTGGTAGAATCAATTGCACGGCTATTTACGGTAAATATATATTACACATAAGTGTTTTTCTTTCTTTGTACTGTTTCTGTTTCTGATGTTATGTAAAGGGATGTTATGTTGAGCACTATCAGAAGCGCTATACAAATCCAATGTATTATTATTATTATTATTATTATTATTATTATTATGGTATGTGTGTTTGGGGTGTGAACAGCATAAGGGAATACGTCGTAAGAGAGGGTCAACAATAATGTATAACTATTACTACATTAAAAAGTTGTATAGTCTAGTATTTAGACCAAATTTAAATATCAAAAATAAACAAAAACTTACAGTACAATGAATAAATGACAACATATTCAATCCAACTTTATTTGTATAGCACATTTAAAAACAACAGAGTTGACCAAAGTGCTGTACATCAATACATATATAAAAAAGCAGCATAAATACATTTAGACAAAACCGATAGGACAAAAATAAACTAATGTAAAAGCACGAGACAATGAAACCATACTTGTAATGGACTGTACTTATATAGCGCTTTGTCCAGTCTTTAAGACCCCTCAAAGCGCTTTACATACTACATGTCGTTCACCCATTCACGCCCATTCACACAGTGTACCTTACTCTAGGACCTAACATTCACACAGAGCAGTGTACCTTACTCTAGGAACTAACATTCACACCCATTCACACAGAGCAGTGTACCTTACTCTAGGAACTAACATTCACACCCATTCACACAGAGCAGTGTACCTTACTCTAGGAACTAACATTCACACCCATTCACACAGAGCAGTGTACCTTACTCTAGGAACTAACATTCACACACATTCATACAGAGCAGTGTACCTTACTCTAGGACCTAACATTCACACACATTCACACAGAGCAGTGTACCTTACTCTAGGAACTAACATTCACACACATTCATACAGAGCAGTGTACCTTACTCTAGGACCTAACATTCACACACATTCACACAGAGCAGTGTACCTTACTCTAGGACCTAACATTCACACACATTCACACAGAGCAGTGTACCTTACTCTAGGAACTAACATTCACACAGAGCAGTGTACCTTACTCTAGGAACTAACATTCACACACATTCACACAGAGCAGTGCACCTTACTCTAGGAACTAACATTCACACAGAGCAGTGTACCTTACTCTAGGAACTAACATTCACACAGAGCAGTGTACCTTACTCTAGGAACTAACATTCACACCCATTCATACAGAGCAGTGTACCTTACTCTAGGAACTAACATTCACACCCATTCATACAGAGCAGTGTACCTTACTCTAGGACCTAACATTCACACACATTCATACAGAGCAGTGTACCTTACTCTAGGACCTAACATTCACACCCATTCACACAGAGCAGTGTACCTTACTCTATGACCTAACATTCACACAGAGCAGTGTACCTTACTCTAGGAACTAACATTCATACAGAGCAGTGTACCTTACTCTAGGAACTAACATTCACACAGAGCAGTGTACCTTACTCTAGGACCTAACATCCACACCCATTCACACAGAGCAGTGTACCTTACTCTAGGACCTAACATTCACACAGAGCAGTGTACCTTACTCTAGGACCTAACATTCATACAGA